ATATTAATAATACAATAACCAGAATCACACGAACAACAACAATAATGATAATGATGGCAATAATAATAATAATAATAATAATAATAATAATAATAATAATAATAATAAATAATATAATAATAATAAATAATAAAAAGAAAAACAAGAATAATAATTATCATAGTCATCATCATAGTTATACGAATAATAAATATGATCATCATCATAACAACAACAACACTAACAATGACAATGACAATAACAATCACAACAACAATAATAATAATGATACTTATAATAACAACAACAATAACAATAACAACCATAACAGAAACGATAACCATTATCCAAAGCATGAGCACATGAGACCGACAATATCAAGAACAATAACAATAACCATAACTCCATTTCGCTTTCCGCCAATAGGCCTACGACCCATTCCCCGCGACCAGATCGCCTTTTAAACCCGCAAGAACAAAATGCCAATGAATAGATAGATAAATAGATGAATAAATAAACAGATAGATAAAATAGATGAATAAATAAACAGATAGATAAATAGATGAAATAAATAAACAGGATAGATAAATAATAAATAGAATAAATAAACAGATAGATAAAATAGATGAATAAATAATAATAGATGAATAAATAGATAAACAGATAGATAAAATGAAATAAATAAACAGATAGAATAAATAGATAAAGAGAAACAGATTAAATGAAAATAGAATAAATAAACAAAATTCGTTTTCCCCCAGGCCTACGACCACTGCCCGCGAAGACCAGAAATTCTGGCCTATCTCCCTTTCAAAACGAACTACCAATGCTAGCCGATGGATAAATAGATCAATAAATAAACAAAACTTAGTCACCCATCCTAATTGATAATTAATAAGAGGTTCCTCTTCTCAATAAACACTTAACCTGTCGCTTTTCACGAAATATTGCCTCTCGGGATGGCAACAGCCTCCTTGACATGAGTGTCATGACTTGTTCTCTTTAATTACATATAGGAGAGCGAGGAAATTAAATCAATTGTTCGATCTATTGCAATTTTATCCGATTTATTGCCTCTTGCAAATAAGAGAAAATGCGATATATCATCTTTTAAAGTTTTATCATCATTCTATTTGAATTAACTAATTTGTTATTATCCTCATGATCATTATCATATTTAGTATTATCATTATTATTATTAACTATCATTATGATCATTATTACCAACCATTATCATTATTATTTACTATCATTATCATTTACTCTAATTATCATTACTATTATTTTATCATCATTATAATTATTATTATCATTATTATTATTATTACCATCGTTAACATAGTCGTCGTTAACATTCATTATAAATCATCATCAACTAGCACTACTAATACTACTAATACTGCTACTTCTCTACTTCTACTATAATTTTATGTGCATTTTCGTAATCTCTCAAATACTTTCCTTACACACAACCGCACAGTTAACTCTCACTGTCACTCTCGAAAACTTTTTAAACAGATACACACACAAAACAAAAAACTTTACATCTAAAACAGCTAAACTTTCCCAGAAAATATGGCTCTTCTTTACACATCCCACAAATTGCGTAAAGTGGGAGGCACCGCTCTGAATTCCCCCTTAATAATTTACCTTTTGCTTTGTTGGAAAATGAACAATGTAACGCAACTGACACTTAATAACTTAATCAACTTTCGGGTAATTTATATTATTTGAATCATTGTTGTTAATAGTATTAGTACAATTATCAATACCGTGACCGGAGTCATTTCCCCCCTTATCGATGCCTTATAATAACTGCAAATTAATAAACAAATAAAAAAAACATAAAATACAGAAAACGGAATCGCATCACTAAATCATGTCAATCATCAACTCCCTGCAACTCCCCCAGAAAATACACGCCCCTTCGCGCAAAAACAACTTGTCCTTAAATAAACAGAAAAAAGTTTACGTTCGAGATGGCCTTTCCCGATTGCCATATCAATTTCCTGTAATGATTTATCGCCTCATTAATCCGCTGACGGACGATTGTTTCCATCTGGACGAAAAGTCTTCGAAAGCTCATCCAAACTCCCGTAAGTCTCGATGTCAGACGACGATAAATGACGTGACATCAGCATCTCGGTGCACACTACAAATCACCGTTAATCACTTCGGTATTTGTCCCTCGGGGTTCTCTCCCCCTCGGTGTCATCCTCAAAGTCACTGTTCCGGAGGACCCACCAGTTCCGAAAAGGCCTCCTGATTTGGCCTCGAGTCATAGACTCAAATTTTCCAGATTCCTCAAGCGCCAGGATGTGTCCGATCCTCCAGGAGGACACGACGTCCCTGGAAGGAAGAGGAAGCCCGACCCCTTAGGTCACGCACCCGGAACGCGGGCCACGCCAAGGGGTCGGTCGGGGAGTCGGGGGCGAGCGGCGGCGCGTCCGTTTACCTCACGCAGTTCGGGGACGGGACGGGAGCGGTGGACGAGCGTGCGACCGCCGCCTTCTCCTGCCTG